AGATCTTTTAAAATATTTAAGAAATATTTTTATTTTTATTTTTCACATATATTTGACAAATAAGACCTTGAGCAAACTTCATTTTATATTTGAGGCTTTTTGTTAAATAAAGGCAATTTTCATTTCATAAAGCATATTTAACAAATATACCTTGAAGCTTTTCGTTAGGCGGGAGCTTTATCAATGAGACATTTTGAAATATTTAAGAAATATTTTTTTTTATTTATATTTGACAAATAAGACCTTGAGCAAACTTCATTTTGTATTTGAGGCTTTTTGTTAAATAGAGATTTTGTATTTGAGGCTTTTTGTTAAACAGAGGCAATTTTCATTTCATAAAGCATAAAGCATAAAGCATAGTTAACAAATATACCTTACTTATTCTTGGAGCATTTTGTTAGGCGGGAGCTTTGTGCGATTGCCGAAGTTTCCCATATGCTCTGGCCGGCTCTGCAGGGGAGTGATTCTTGATCAGCTGGAGATTGTGTATTGTGCTGGCATGATTACGGGAGAGTGAGTGATTCTTTAGGAGATCGAGTTTCTCTGGAGATTATGTACTGTACTGGCCCGATTGCAGGAGAGTGATTCTCGCCTAAAACTAGCATAGATGATTCATATCTGCTGCATTCCTAGTTAGCGCATTATTGCCAGTCCAGCTAGAAAATAGCACTTCTTCAATGTTCTGCTTTCCAGTAGCACACAGGTCTATGGGTTCTTGCAAATATGAAAAATCTGCTTCGAGATAACTTTAGTATAAGAACAAGGAAAAAAAAAAAAAGACGATGAAAATCTTTATTTGCATGTTTAGTATAGACTGGATAGATTACTGGCAGCTGTATTGTATAATCAAGTTCTACCTGAATCACCTGATCAATCTAGAATCTTATATGGGTAAATTGGATACAAGTCTAAAGCTTATATAAACTCTTCAGTTCATGTCTCTTACAAGAACCGGATCACAGCAATTCTTGGCATTCCTTTCGCCTTAGAAATATGAGCAAGTATTTGGGTGTTCTGCTCATAAAAGATCAGAGCCAACTTGTGTCAATTTACTCTGCTATTATCGAGAAAATCTACCGTAGATTGGCAGCATGGAATTCCCCAATATCACAAGTTTTGGGGCAAGAACATTGATTGGGTGTGAATTTCATGTTGGTTGCGTAACAAGACTGATCAACTTGCCAGGCAATGCTTATGGGCTTCAAGGTCTATAGTAGCAGGGATCTCCATCTTGTTAACCGGGCGAGGGTGTCTTCTCCATGAAACTGTGGTGGTCAGGGTATTCATCAGGCAGGATTTAATAATTCAGCCATGCTTTATTAATTAAATTGGTATTCCTGAATAATTCGGATGAACTTCGGGTCAAGGTCTGCATAATGACTCTACAGAATTGTTGACAGAATGCCTAAAAAAGTTGTGAATGACCTGAAGTCTTGCCAAGGAGTAGGTCAGCTAGAAGATTTCTACATATGAATGAAGATCAAGTCTTTAGGAATAAGATGCTGTTTTATTTTATTGACTTGTTATTAGGAAGAAGTTGTCTTTGCCATGCAATTAGCATATTTTGTTGATTTTCTGTTAAAACTAAAATTCTATTTAAATGGAGTTATTCGGTTAGTAAAATGTATCTTTCTAGCTCGTTTCTTTTCTTCTACGGTATACTTCTTTGCTCAATTTGTTCATAATCTCTATCAACAAGAATCATATGCTTCCTCTTTCTGCTTTCCGTGCTTCTTTGCTCAATTTGTTCATAATCTCTATCAACAAGAACCATATGCTTCCTCTTTCTGCTTCCCGCACACGGAAAGCTCCTTTTCCCTCTTAGTGTTATGAATGGCTTTAGTTGATTGTGGAAGAGAAATGGTGCATGGAAGCAAAAAGTCCCATCGTGGTCAAATGGAAATCCTTCGTGGAAGAATTGCCATTGTTATAATCAAATGAGGCCAGAATCCAGAAATTACAAGTATCTATTCATCTGAAATTCCTTCATTGCTTTCACGTAGAATATCTGGAGTGACTCACTTGGTTGTGTGGAAATACTGAGCTATGAACCTGACATTTCACAACCATCTTCACTAGGTGGAGGCAATGTTGATTTTTTCCGATACGATTCTGCAGATCTGACAGCCACAGACCAACTGAAATACTAACTTGCAAGTTGCAAATCTAATGGTTTAGATAAAGCGCAGATAAACTATGAACACCACTCTCTCTTCCAGCCGTCCTAGCATATGCAGATTGGCTTGGTTGTTCACTGCTTCCAACCCTGAAATTTATGCTTATGAGGACTTTACACAGAGCTGATGTTGCAAATGCTTTTGCATATAATTTCTCCCATTCGGTTATCATCTTGGATCATAGGTTTGGAGGAGGAAACACATGATCTGGATAGAACCCTACCATGTTTAGCCCAGCTGCGTCATCAAGTGAGCTGACTTTTCTCGTGTTATTTCTGAATTATAGTACTGGTACCATCTCTGGCAAATAAAACAAAGTTTAAGTTCATATTTTGATATAAAGAGCCCTAATAAGCTGGCAGTTGTTAATCATTTGTCTCAAGAAACGCACTCTGAATATCTGAAGATCAGGGAATTTTTTTCCAATCCACATGCATAATCTGTACGCATAACCACTCAAAAAGCTAATAAAATAGCAATCAGTTCAAGAAGCAGATGACTTGATACAGTGTGAATCAAGATATAGACAGCTCAGGCAAGGAACCCGATAGAGAAACATAAATTGATGTGAAAGCAGCAGCTGGTTCTTTAAGTACTGTTCCTGTCAGAAAAATTAAAAATCGGAACATACTGCTAATCTGATCACTGTGAATTTGACAATAGATTACACAAATGTAAAAGATTATCAATCGATCGCTCAGCCTAATGATGCTTGTATCCAAAATTCATATCTTCCTCATTTCGTTCTCTTCGATATACAGACTAGCACACAAGACTAAGAATGCTTGTATCCAAAAAATTATTTTAATTAAAAGTTAAAATTTTTAAATTTTCATATATGGATTCTAACTTATAACATTTTTCTTCCATCAAAAGATTATTTTAAATAATTTATACCACACATATCTTTAACTTTAACTAATTTTCGTCATGAAATATTTATAAAAAATAACTCTTAAACTATTACTCAAAGTAAAAAATTATTTTTCACATGTCAATTGCACCCTAATCACTGCTTCCAACCCTGAAATTTATGCTTGTGAGGACTTTACACACAGCTGATGTTGTTTTGCGTATAATTTCTCCCATTCGGTTATCATCTTGGATCATAGGTTTGGAGGAGGAAACACATGATCTGGATAGAACCCTACCATGTTTAGCCCAGCTGCGTCATCAAGTGAGCTGACTTTTCTCGTGTTATTTCTGAATTATAGTACTGGTACCATCTCTGGCAAATAAAACAAAGTTTAAGTTCATATTTTGATATAAAGAGCCCTAATAAGCTGGCAGTTGTTAATCATTTGTCTCAAGAAACGCACTCTGAATATCCGAAGATCAGGGAATTTTTTTCCAATCCACATGCATAATCGGTACGCATAACCACTCAAAAAGCTAATAAAATAGCAATCAAGTTCAAGAAGCAGATGACTTGATACAGTGTGAATCAAGATATAGATAGCTCAGGCAAGGAACCCGATTAGAGAAACATAAATTGATGTGAAAGCAGCAGCTGGTTCTTTAAGTACTGTTCCTGTCAGAAAAATTAAAAATCGGAACATACTGCTAATCTGATCACTGTGAATTTGACAATAGATTACACAAATGTAAAAGATTATCAATCGATCGCTCAGCCTAATGATGCTTGTATCCAAAATTCATATCTTCCTCATTTCGTCCTCTTCGATATACAGACTAGCACACAAGCCTAAGAATGCTTGCATCCAAAATTTTATTTTAATTAAAAGTTAAAATATTCTAACTTATACCATTTTCCTTCCATTAAAAAAAATTATTTTAAATAATTTATACCACGCATATCCCTAACTTTAACTAATTTTTGTCATGAAATATTTATAAAAAATAACTCTAAAACTATCACTCAAAGTCAAAAATTATTTTTCACATGTCAATTGCACTCCACGTCAAGTATTTAAACTCTTTAAAAAAATGAAATTAATTACAAAATTCATGCGTTGGATACAATCCAATATACTTAAGAGGAGTCATAAAAAAGAAAATATAGTAAAGATGTTTTCATTTTTTAATATTTCTCATTATAGTTTCCGCATACTAAGTATTGATAGTCACATTTATTCTCAAAAAGATACTTCTTATATTTTTTTTAACGAGTTTTTTTTTCTGGAAAAAATTAATTACCCCATATTTTTTTTATTTATTTATCTAACCTTTTTCTAGAACCTTAAAAAAAAAAAAAACCCCGTAAATTTCGCTCCGCCACTGGATGGACTGCGGTCAATGCATTCGGAGAGAGATTTTTTCTTTTCAAATATTTTCTGAATTTCTTCAATAGATAATGGCCTCGGCGTTCGGTAAACGCATCATTGGTTTTCCTTTCCAGTTATCAACAACTATACCACAAATTTTTTTTCGAATTTCAGAATATTACATGGAAACTAACAAATACTGGAATCTAAATCCACGGTGTAATCGGTGGGTTTAAGATTTTGGGCCGGGCCTGTTTTGGATTTGATTTCAAATAGTTTTTTTATATATATATATATTTAAAATTTTTTTATATTTTTAGATTGTTTTGAAGTATTTATATTAAAAATAATTTTTTAAAAATAAAAAATATATTATTTTAATTTATTTTTAATTAAAAAATATTTTTAAAAAAAAACAACTAACAAAATCCCAATATTTCCCTTGATCATTTGTCAACTTTTGAGATATTAAATGAGCAAGATACTCGAGGCCGAAAATGCCAAGCCCTCTTAAAAAGTAAAACCTTTACCACCACATTTTTCAGACAAATAAAAATCAAACCTTATCCATTCCAAAAAAAATCTTGGCTACCTTATCCGCTGTCCGTGTTCATTATCGAACCAACACATTAGAAATACAGATCCCTCTCCTCTCAGTGGCTTCAAGCTCCGATCCCAGACTATTCATCGAAAATGCAGGCAGCCATATTTCTTACACCATCAATTCTCCCTCTTGTAACACCTAACAAAAGTTTAGCTTCGGCAAGGAGGGTCGTCCCAAGGTTACAGACCTCCAAATGTTCCCCGATCAAAGCAAGTGCTCCAGTGGCAAACGACACTTCAACAATTGATTACAGCTCCTTTACCTCGTAAATTCTGCTCTCCATCACCCTCAGTTTCCTATCTTCAACATTAAAAGTTACGGTTAACAATATACTTTCATTACATGTTTTGTCCAGTGTTTTTCCAGCTGAGGCTTGTGAGACAATAGGAGGAGAAGCTTGTAATGTTGAGATGTATCCTGAAGTGAAGCTCAAACCAGATGCCAGAAGTACCACTCCCAGCACTTCAGAGCAGATTGATAGAGAATATTTAGAGTACAACAGTGCCAAGACGTAAGATCTCAGGACCCCATCTTTAGCTTTACAAGTTTAAAGATTTGCAATGACAAGAATTGAACAAAATATATGAGGTTTTAACAAGGATTCTTTCGTTTCACTACAGGGTATTCCTAGACGAGGCTTGTGATGATCTCGGAGGAGAGTTCTGTGACCCTGGATATCAGGGATGAGTTTAGCAGTAACATCTTACCAAGAAAAACAAGGAAAAAGAATGGAATGTGTCACCTTTACGTTCTCGACTTCCTTTTCTTTCACTCGGGTGGCATGGTTCTCTTGGTAGTGTACATTAAGTTCTTGAAT